ATGTTCCTTTATTGATCCCCGTAGGAGAAATTCAAATTTGGCCCAGCAGCATAGGGGGAATGTAAATCAAATATAAATATAATAAAAAAAGAAAATAAAAATCAACCATATAAAAAATATACACAATAAATTGGAATATACAAGTGTTTTATGTTATTGAAACATTCTGTGATTAACTTAAGTGCAGAAAGTCAATTTTTTTAAGTCTTGATGCTTAAAGGGAGGGGCAGATTCAGAATCAGCTAATGTTGAAGTCCTCTGTCCTGATGTGATCAGCTTGATGCTGTGTGGAGGATTTTTATTTCATCAGCCGAAAGCATGTTTGCTCTCATGTCTCCTGTCAGTTTGTTTTCAGCTGCTGCTGTTGTTAAAGTGTTTCTCCAACACATGGTCTGAAACACAAGCCGTGCTGACCGAGTATCAGACACTGTATATCAGAGTGTGGAGGTCTGCCCGCTTAGTCTCTGAGAGGAGGAACAAACCTTTTAACCCTCCACCCCTCCTCCAGCCTGCCCGTCTCAGCGCTGATGGATGGAGCTTTCTCTGCTCCGTGCACTTATTTAATCATCCCTCCATTATGCACAATTGATCCCTGCTGCCTCTCCCCCACTCGCCTGTTTGGACTGAAATACAACCAGATAGCCTCCCCTCAAACCTCCTCAGTCTGTATACGCCGTGCAGTGACTCACCATGAATCAATAGGAGCAGAGGTCAAGCTTTTATCCGCCAATAAAGAGACCGCGGGTTTTCCTTTTTGTCTCTAAGTCATCCTGAAGGAAGCAGCTCCCATGTGACTCACAGGTTTCAGCTGGAAATCAGACAGAAAGATGAAAACGCCAATGTTAATATCAGATTCACGCTGTGGGATGGACACTGAATTTTATGTGCTAAAGTCAAATAATCCACTCCCAGATATGCAGCTATACACATCATTTTATCATTAAAACATGTCAGATAGATTTTTTTCAACTGTTCAATTCAATTCATGTAAAAGCAATTGCTCTAAAAGTGGTTTATTAAGAGCTTCCTCCACTTTTCCTCCTCATTCTGGAGTAAAATACAATTAATCAAACTTTATTTGTATAGCACCTTTTGTACACGTTAGTTAAATTCAATGTGCTTCACAGGTGACTGATTTTTTTTTTGGTAACTGGGAAAATGATTAATTCCTAGGAGACAACTTAAAGGTTATATATATATGAAGATCACTGGCCGTCTTTGCCACTTGATGTCGCACTAGAGCCCCAACATCTCAGACCAAAGAGTTAGATAAGAAAGTGTTTGTGAAAAAGCTGCAATGGCTGTAAGCTAACGTAAGCTAATGTTAACCCTTGGGGACAAATGCACCTGCCAAACTACACCCACTAAAAGTGCCTCTTTTTTTTTGCCTGCCACTGACAGGCTCAGATTGTTTTTCTAAGTGTCTGACAACATTATGGAAAAAGTCCCTACAGAGATAGTAATACTTTGCAGTCACTCAACCAGACTACAAAGACAAAAATGGTAATTTCACCTTGCAAATCATTGTGACTTTGTTCCACTGTTTCAACAATCATGGTCTGGTCTTTTAGGGATCAATAATACACAAAGAATAAGGAAGTAATTAGGTTTGTTTTTTTGCAAATTAAACCAATTCTGTGAAGAAATCATGACATCCTCACATCAACCTGAGCAATATCGAGCTTTTTGATTTGTGCATGAGACCAATAACAAGCTCTTTTCTTTTTCCAGACTTTAACTAACCTTATCTGTGTGCATACAGTGTAATATACAATATATGTATGTGCGTGCATACTGGTAAGGACTGCATGTGTACATATATATGAATGTATATACTGAATATATTATGATTCCATCCCAGAATGGCTTTGTCTCTCTCTCACTGTTGCTCCTAACCCCTCCTGTGCTATAGCCCTACTGAGCATGCTCCAGCTTCTGCAGGCTCCGCTCCCGCCACTCCGCCTGCTAGTGCCGCTGTGCAGCCTCTGGACCCCGCCCCTCACAGGTAACCAATCAGCTGTGGGCCAATCTGAGCTTTTCTTCTGTTTAAATGTGAGCTATAACAGCTTTAACTGCTGTTTCTTTTTATTGAGCTTTGAGTGGAGAGTTTAATCGTTTGTTTTCACACACAACTTTTAACCACGCAAATTCTAATTGTTTCCTCTTGTCAACAAATCTCATAAACAGACCCAAAACTAACAGTAGATGTATCTGCTGAAAAGTACTGTGTGTGTATCAGAGCCTGATATATCTTCTTCCTCTGTGCTATAGAGCCTCATTGCTGTCTGAAAACTATGAACAACCCATCAGTGAGCACACTGTTGCACTGGGTGACATAATCCTTCTTTTTCATGAACACACATTGTAGTTTATTTATGAACCATCCTGCTGCCACAGGCACTCCCTAGAGCACCAAATCCGGATAAATCCGTTGCTGAAAATAGTCCCCAAAAAATAAACAATTTATATAAAAGCTACAGTGAACAGCTGTTAATTGTGAACTTTTTTTAAACGTGAAAGCATATATTTGTGTTTTTAAAGATTTACATCTTCAATAGGAACTAATGGAGCTGAGAGCCACAGACCGGAAGGCAGACATAATCAAGAGATGTTGCATGTCATCTTTCTCTCTCTCCTCTGTTCCCTGTCTGTCCGTCCCAATCCAATAATAAAAATCTTTGGGAGCATGCAAAAAAAATATAATTCTTAGTATTTCAAGAATCATATGATCATATGAACTGAAGATACAAGGATTTGTAGTGTCTGTTTTCTACCTCAGCAGCAAATATTGACCCTCTTGGCTCCCTGTATGACTGATTGTTGGTGTGAGTTGAGTGATCTGGATCAGAGATAGGAGGATTTTGACTTTGCAGTCAGACGTTCAGGTGGACTCCCACCATGCTTGCTAAATGGGGTTGAACTGTGTTAATGTGCTTGTTTGAAGGTGCTGATGGTGCACTGACTGAGTTGTTATATTTTGGGTTGATTTCTGTGCTCTTTGTCATTTTGGGGTAGCAAAACAATCTGAAAACATCCATCTATTTCCACGTCTAGTAGACAGCAACATTATTGTGTTGTATTTGTGTCTACCTGATGAATATAAGTCCAATATTCATTCTGCTTTAGCTTTGTTTTTGGTCTCCTGTGAAAACTTTGTGGTTCTTTAGCTGCTAAATGCTCCACTATGGTCACCAGTTAGTCTGTAACTGTGTCTGTCTGCTGTTATCAGAGCTTGTTGGATGAAAACGTGCTAGAAAAGGAGTTGATGACAGATAGATAGATCTCAGCTAGATGTTAACCTATAAACATAACAAACACAATACAGAAAGGAAGAAAGGAAGCATCACCAGCCTTAGGTGTACCTCTGGGCAGGCCACAGCCTGCAGGTACCAGTGCCCTCAGGATGCAGATCGTCATGGTGACCTCTGCTGTTGTTGTCTCTACACCTGCAGCCTGAAACGACAGTCTGCTACTGGTTACGGCGTCCAGCACAAAGCTGCAGTCTCCAGGTACCGACACCTGCAGGGATCCAGCGCTTCAGTCCGCTTCATGCTGCCTCCTGTGCTACACTACATAACAAACCATTGCCATTAAACGGAGGCGTCTTAATCTAAAACCCCTCGCAGCACCCTGAGTGGACTTAAGGCCTCAGTATGCTTCAAATGCACTAGTGTGTATGATGATCTGTTCTCCTCCTGGCTGCGTCCCACATCACTCTCCAACAACTCTCGATGTGACGGATCATACAAATGTGAATAACAGAGTACATTTTCAGACATTAATGGTGTTTTACTCAGTTGTTGACATGAAAAGTCAAGCACTGTGTTTGAAGCATACTGAGGCCTTTATTTAAAAATGGGTGACCCTGATGGAAATTGAACCCCTAACCCTGGCAGTGTTGCTCAGTTCAGGACCATGTAACTGTTAACAACTTCATCCATTCACAGGCTCAATCTCTTCTAACTGGCTCTAACGGATCAAAGTCCAGCTGCCACATGTTTTTTTTTTTCTTTCTTCTGTCAAGACACTGACACCAATTTCTTACAGGCTAGTTGTTAGGATGGTCTGCTTTTCTTTTTAATACCTTCACTATTTTTTAAGTATCCTGTCTATGTATTTTGTGTAGATATACACAAACACTGTGATTTGCAGGTCAAATGATGATGTTAAAAAGTCAAAGTTTTAAGACTACATTTCAGATTTAGGACGTGTTTCATATGCATTTTGAAATACTACAGAAACAAAGGTTATATGGAACCTAGATGACTTTCTGTAAATCAGTAAATCAGTGCTTGACACAGGAAGGAAAACCTGGTAAGTATTTGTGCACTTTTAGACATTTGGCACTAAATGTTGAAACTGCTCATGCAACTTGGTCCTTGCATTAAATCAAACATTGTAGGGATGGATTATAAGACATTGTGGACCTGGACACAACTGCAAGCAACACAAAACATAGTCGTTTTGTATCTCTTCTTGGTCATATTATCTCATTGTGGTCATGTTATGTCTCTTTGTAGTTGTTTTGTTCTCTTTGCAGTAATTGTGTGTCTCTTTTGTTGTTGTTGTTTTGTGTTTCTTTGTGTTTGTTGTCTGTCCCTTTGAGGTTGTTTTGCTATCTTTGTCCTCATTTTGCATCTCCTTATAGTCATTTTGTGTTTCTTTGTTGAAATTTCTTGTTTCTTTGTAGTTATTTGGTTCTCTTTGAGTTTGATTTGTATTTCAAAAACCAAGTTGCATAGAAGTTTCACATATAAAACAGGAGTCTAAGAAGATTTTTAGAGGAAGTGTATATCCATATGTTTGTCATCGATCAGATAACAATGTCGTTGTTGTAAAACTTAACTACTAATACTAATAAAAACGAATAACTAAAACTCCATGAGGTTTACAGGTTCTTAGTACAGAAACACTCCATCAACTTTTTTTTTTTTAATCTCCCTCCAGCCAGTACTGTCAGCCTCCTGCCATGTATCAGGCTCCACAAGTCCCACCTCCCCAGCACTACCAACAAATGCCACCACAGTACCAGCAGCCTCCCACGCAACAGTTCCAGCCCACACAGCAGAGCTCTATCCAGATCCCTCTTGGCTCCGCCCCTCCCAAGGTGGTCAGCACTGCTTGCATCTACCCCTCCCAGCCAGGTGAGAACCCCTGCAGACTGATTCAAATACATAAAAATACAGATTTACTGTTATAAAAGAATTGATTTTGCCTCCCTATCCATTGGAAGCTTTTACACAAATAGTTTTCCTCGCCTCCAGCCTCAGCTCCCATTCCAGCTCCAGCTCCTGCTCCAATCCCACCTCAGCCCCGCCCTCCAGCTGCTGCCCCAGCCCCAGCCCCGGCTGGTCCTGGCTCCTCTAACAGACCCCCCTGGGTGTCCGATACCAACTTTGCTGATAAGTTCGACCCCAGTAAGATGACCACCACCACCATGAAGGTACAGCCGCTGCCCCAGGCCGCCCCTCCTCCACCAGCATACATCCCCAACCCCTCCCCCGCTGCACCTGCAGCTCCCAGCCCTGCCCCCATCACTCCGAGTCCTGCTCCTTTCTCTCCTGTGGCAAGGGGCGTGGCGCAAAGGGCAGAGAGGTTCGCCGCCAGCAGCCGTACGCCTCTGTGTGGGTCCTGCAACAGCGTCATCAGGTACCTGCTTCTTCTCTTTATTCAGCCGTTGTTTTTGTTAAATGTATGATAATATGCTAATTTAATTTAGATGATTGAGTCATTTCAAGGATCTCAATCTCAACCTATTTAAATAAAGTTTATAATATTGATAAACCAACTTGATAATGTGATTATAATAAAAAAAAGACAAAAAAGACACAAAGACTGCAGGTAGCATAAAGTCAGATCTACTAAACATGTGACCTCTAAAAATGTGCCCACTGGTGTAGAATGAGCATGAGAACCTGTTGTTGTTGTTGTTTCCAGGGGCCCCTTCCTGGTAGCCCTCGGTCGGTCCTGGCACCCCGAGGAGTTTAACTGTGCCTACTGCCACATGTCTCTGGCTGACGTCAGCTTTGTGGAGGAACAGAACAACGTCTACTGTGAAAACTGCTACGAGGAGTTCTTCGCTCCGACCTGTGCCCGCTGCAACACCAAGATCATGGGGGTGAGACGTCCTACCTGTCTACCTGTCTGCATGTGTACAGTCACAGTGGTAAATTGACCACCCGAGTAGAGTTTAAAGGACCAGGGTTGACTAGCCGTGACTGAAAACATCCATCTTATCAGGACACTTTTGTCTGAATCTTATAAACTGTGTATTTTCGTTCCTTTGGTGTATTTAAAATGTTTAAATCAATGGCAGTAAATCATGAACCTCCTTTAATATAATAAAACCCATTAATTGGGTTTCCCCAATTCCCCAAATATTGGATGCCTCCCTGGATTTGCATCTAAATTGAAAAACTAAGTTCCTTTTAGAGACTTCTGCTGATAATACTTGCATATTTTTACTTAAGTAGTGAAGTATATTCACAGTGTAGTATTCATATTTTACTTAAGTAATCTGAATACTTCTGCTGCTTTGAAAAATGGTTAGTGGTTGTAGTAAATGGCAAAAAAATGATGAAACACTGGAATGACTCTTTAAATTTACCGTAACATACACACACACACCTCAGCCTGTCTGACATGCTGTGTGTTGCAGGAAGTGATGCATGCTCTGCGGCAGACGTGGCACACCACCTGCTTCGTGTGTGCAGCCTGCGGCAAAGCCTTCGGAAACAGCCTCTTCCACATGGAAGACGGAGAGCCGTACTGCGAGAAAGGTACGGAGATGTTCACGCAGATCGTGGGGGACAGAGGTCAGACATCGGGCTGTAAGCTGTAAGAATGAGCTCAAAGTGGTATTTCAAAGTTTATCCCTCTGTCTCTCCGTCAGATTATATCTCACTCTTCAGCACTAAGTGTCATGGCTGTGACTTCCCGGTTGAAGCTGGTGATAAGTTCATTGAGGCTCTGGGTCACACCTGGCACGACACCTGCTTCGTTTGTGCGGTAAGTAGCAGAACCAGAAACCATTAAAACATCATCCATGTTGGAAAAAAACATCACCTCTCTCCCCTCTGGAGGTATCTGTCAGAGTGTTTTAGTTTTATGTGTCAAGGTTTTGAAGGTTTTCTGGCTCCTCTTCAACCAGGCTTGGGAAGAAATGGATTAAATGTAACAGAGGACACAAACTGTTAACTGTAATCCATTACAGTTAGAGAAGATGTAACAGTTCCGTTTAGTAAAAATGGGCATTATTTGCAGGATTACAATTTTAAAATATATTAAAGAAAGAACAATATACATGCACATAAGTCTTCATAAGTCTCACAACTCTGTTCTCATAACTAAGACCTTAAACTTAAACTGTGATCATTTAAAAGATTGTAAAAGGTTTTCATTTCAAGTTAAATACAAGTTTAATAGCTCAAAGTCTTGTGATTTTGGCCTGTATATTAAGCAAAGCATGTAAGTTATGAGCTAGACCTCAAGGCTTCAGAGCAATATTTTTGATCACAAGAGTAAGATAACTATTTACAATTTTCATAAAAGTTGGTATATTTACAAGTATGCATATTGACACATTTTACTTGTTTAAAACTCATACTAAAAAGTAACATTATCATTATTTCTTCCGGATACTAGTTAACTATTTGACTGGAGAGATACCACTAGACGGAAGTTAGAAAACACTATGTTTTGTTGAAATGCAGCAGATCCTCAGACTTCAGCTCACAACATTATAACCACAGCCGTATTTGTTGCAACTGCAGGTTTGCCATGTGAACCTTGAGGGCCAGCCTTTCTACTCCAAGAAAGACAAACCTCTGTGCAAGAAGCATGCTCACGCCATCAACGTGTAGACCAACCAGCTGCAGATCTGCCGCTCACCGGGGGCAACGCTGCCGCCCACGACAACGAACGCAAGCCAACAACAACAACAACTTTCACAGATGTGTGTAAACGCTCTATATGCAAAATACACTTTGGTTTCAGACTTTTCTTTTTGTGCATTAATATTAATGACTGAAACTACGCTGCCTGACGATTCTGCTTCAGAACAGGAACGTATGTAAAACAAAGTCATGATGTTTTCTGTTGTACATCCAACCCACTGTATGGTGTACTGTCATGTTTTTTTTTTTCCTATGTTTTGTACCAGAAAATACTTGTGATCAAGGTGACCGGCGTGCTGTTCAGTTCAGAATTGGAGGAGTTTATATGGAGTCTGGAGTGTGCCAAATCAAATAACTGTAGCCTTACTAAATTCAATATTTATAATAATTTTAATTATTTAATAATTTATTCTCTTTACTCATACTGTCTTTATGTGATGAAATAACAAAGTAAAATGTATCATCTAAAAGATCATTTTAAATTCATTTTGCAATTTCATTTTCAAATGAGATTACAATTTCAGACAAAATAAGGAAATATGATTATTGCTAGCAAGATTTAAGAATACATTTTTATTAATTCTTCAAAACAAAATTTAATATACTGATTATAATTAACCACTGAAAAAAACTTTTCCAGTGACACACCCGAGACTCCATACAGTGAACTGCACAGCTGTAGTTTGTCTCTACAATGTTGTTCTAATCTTGGACTTGTTTTTGTGCCTATTTTGATTTTGACATGTTTGGGTCTCTTGAATGCCACCTTAATTTTTTTCACTTTACTAAACAAAAAACAACAAAAAATATGTTATAATATATAATGTTTGGTTCAGCACTACAATATAAAATATTTCAGCTGTAATAACCAGAGAGTCCTCAGTGCAGCAGACAGAACAGTGAAGCATCACTTTGACATTTTTAAAGACAGAAACCGGTTTATTTCTTGTTTTGGTTTTGACGAGAGTGTGATTGACTCTGCTCTCAGCCCAGCCAAGTCTTGATCTGACTGTGGGACAGTGAACAGCAGAGCAGCACATGAAGAAACCTTATCTGACATGTTGTTAGAAGTGAGACTGGCAGTGAATGTAACACAAATGTTTTTGGAGACAGGACCTGGTGACACTTTCCACTGGCCTCCTTCCACCGGGTGAACCTGTGTTCTCAAATATGAAAAACAAGTCTAAGTGCACAATGATACTGTGTAAACCCGGTTACACCAGAACGTAATGCAAGGGGTGGTTCTGTGAGCTTGGTGACGAAGTGACATGGGGCAGTGCCAGAAGAGCAGTCAGGGCCCCTGCCCCAGAATCTCTGTATAAAGTGATTTCTTGTGACTGAAAATGCAAATAAACAACTACGAAAAGATTCAAAACAACCACAAAATAACTATAAAGAGAAACAAAACAGCCGCATACGGATGCAACACACAGCAACAAAGATTCAACATAATGACTACAAAGAGGCACAAAATGACAACATAGACATGCCACCGACGATTACAAAGAGGGGCAGAACAACCACAGACACACACAACTACTTAGAGGAGACACAAAATGACCACAAAGAGGCGCAAGACAACTAGAAAGAAACACAAATCGACCACTAGAAATGCAACACAACAGCTACAAAGATACACAAAACAGCTACAGAGGGACGCAGAACGACCTCAAACAGAAGCAGCTTCTCTTTCAACTATAATGTCTTGTCACTTCCATATTTCATCTCTACAGGGTGAGTTTGATTCTAAAACAAGTGTAAGCTATGTAAAGCACATGCAGTGCGGAACTATTTCCTGCTCTCACACAGTATTTCAGTGTATTTGGAGTTGTTTTTCCAGGTGAACCTGCTCAGGTGAGGCTGCTGCAGTGTGTCAGTGGTGTCTGATGATGTGATGTGAAGTGTAGCTTCTAATCCCTCTTTGACTTCACGTACAGTAGGTGTTACCATGCAACAAATACCCTTGAATTTCATATTTATTGACTATTTTGACTGTGTGATATTTATTTAAGAGCTAATATATCATCACTGCTGCGTTCAGTGCTCATCAGATTATTAGTTGTTTAATTTGTTTTGTGGATGTTTGGCATCACAAGATGTACTTTGAGTGTTAATGGATTTTTTTTTGTAATCTCTTTATGTTTGTGAGCTTGAATGTTTGTGGCGTTTTTCACTACAAGGCCACTTAATAGCTCCGTTCACACTGCAGGCCTTTGGACCGTTTATTTTTTTTAAATTTTTTTATTATCTTATAGAAAAAATATGATCATCATTGATAAGATACAACTTAGATCCGATCGAGATACGAGATATTCCTCTATACAAGGAAACAGTCCAACAACAACCTGTCACTGTCAATCTCCATTCAGACTTAGAAAAGTGAAACGGTCTTGTTCGAGTTGAACTTTTATTGCCTTGTATTTGCAGAGAGAAATCAGAGGTGTTTCCCATTCACTTCAATGCAGGCAATGTGTTTTAGCAGCATCTAGTGGCCATCAGAAGAACTGCAGCTTAACAAACTGCAATATAAAGCACGATCTGTTTCACATCCCTTCTTTGTTTGCTCCAGGTACACTGAATGACAAAAATAAACACAGAATCAAAGCACACAAAATAAATAAAAACATCAGAACTGTTTATCAGGCAGTGTAAACACATCCTGAGATACCAGTGTGTAAGATTTAGTGGCATAGAGCGGTGAGATTGCAAATTGCGACCAACTGAAACCCCTTGACTCAACCAAGCAAATGCTAAAAGCACTATCTAGAGGCAGCCTTCTGGGCTACTGTAGAAACATGGTGGTTCAACATGGCAGACTTTGTAGAACACTAGTTTCCCATCCACAACCATTTTGTGCATGCCGCTATGTGGCAAAAAAAGCAGCTTTTATACAGACATTTTCAGCATTCACAAACATTGCAACTCTTTTACAACACGGCACGCATCATTTAACAACTGACTGCTTGAGAATATTCCATTTCTGCCAATAGACTCTCCTAAATGTTACACACTGGACCTTCAGGACATACAACCTGATGTTTTGCACTGTGAACAGGGCTTTAAATACACTGAATAAATGAGTTGTTTTTCAGATGAACTTTGACACAAGTTTCTGTGGGGAAACGTGGAGACACGTCTCGCTGCAGTGTAGGGTGCCTTTAGGCCACTCTGTGATCTGTTTGTGTGACTGGCACACAGCTCTGACAGGTCTGTGTGCTGGTGTACAGTTTTTACTTTAATATTTTATACAGTTTGTGTGTTTTCCAGAGAGTGAATGTATGCATGCAGAACGTTTGTCACAGTTTGTCACAGCATGTTGAGCAAGGCAACGTCAGTATTAGTTAGTGTTTGTGTCATGACAAAGAGACTACGCCCACTGTTAAACATGATTACAAGTGTTTGAACTGGTTTGGTGTCAATGAGCTGCAAGTGAAACATTATTGATGCAACTTAATGACTGAAGTACGGATGGAAGCTGGAGTAACATTAAGCCTCTTAAACTGGTCGTAGGAGGTTCAGCTGCTTCACTACATTTGTTTAACAGGTTTTGAATATTTGAAGAATATATGTGTTGCAAGTCGAATAAACTGAGCACTTCAAACACTTCAAACGTCTGCTGTAAAGGTTTTTTTTCTCTTTAAGATATGGTTTCCTAAAGAATCTGCAGGGTTTTCTGTTTGACTAAAGAGGACAAATGCTGTGGACTTAAATGGAAATCTTCCCCAGGATTTGGGCCATGTGAAAAGGAACAGACATTTAAAAGTCCAGTCTATAGGATTTACTGGCATTCACTGATGCAGTTGCAGATCAAAAGAGAAACTCTGATAGCTGCGAGATGTGTAAAAAATGTGAAACACCCCTATCTACAGCCAGTGTTTGGTTTGTCTGTTCGGGGCTACTGTAGAAACATGGTGGTTCAACATGGCGGTCTCCATGGCATAGAAAAACAGCTCATTCTAAGGTAACAAAAAGACAATCATTTCTATATTCATGTAAGTATACACTAATGAAAACATAACTATGAATATTATATTGCATTTCTGCCAATAGATCCTGCTAAATGTTACACACTTGAGCTTAAAGGTTCTCAAGGATGTGATTAAAGCCAGAAATTTAGAAGAAGAAAAAGAAGAAGATCTACGAGAGAGTATTTGGGCTTCTGTTAGGAATAAAATAATTTTTGATATTTGAGAAAAAAGTCATTAGAAGAAAAAAGGAATATTTCTTGAAGCAAGTCAAAAACTTGGAAAAAACGTTCATATTTGAACATTTAAAGGCACACACCAGAGTGCTTTACCTGTGATACACTCTTTTTCTTTTGCAAGGGACAGGAGTCCCTAACCCTAACTGCAAATGATATTTGCACAATCAGCTAACACACATACATATGTAATCCAATCTACCGTTTGGCCCGAAACGGTATTTTTTACATTCAATTCTTCAATTTGAAGGGCCTTTTTTTAGCATGGGAAACAGATGTTTACATTGCCAAAGCATGTGTAAAATATATGTACATAGAAGAGGAAAAATTGTAGATAAAAACTCAACGTTTTATGTTTGTTACTCTTAGCTGAATGTCACAAAATTGTGTGGGCAGCAGAAACAAAGTTCAAAGTTCAAGTATAATTTTTCGGAGAAAAACTCCTCTCTCCTGTTAGTGTGTGTCATCTGTTTGAAACATTTACACAAAGTTCCTCTTTCAGTTTTTATTTGAGAACTTCAGAAACTTTTCAGTTCAGTGTAACTGTGACACAGACCAGAGAAATGTCATGAGTTTAATTGTTACAACATGCAGGCTCGTTACAACACCCACTTACTGTCACACCCAAACCCTTCATTTCTGTTTACTTAGATATATTATGACTATTATTATCATTGTAATTAGTCTATTGTCGTTTTTGTTGTTGTTTTATCAGTGTGATTCGTCTATTGTCATTGTTGTTATTGCTGTTGTTGTTGTTGTTGATGATGTTGGTAGTAGTAGTAGTAGTAGTAGTAAAGTTAGTGGGATGATGTTCAGTTAATGCTCAGCAGAGGGCGCGTGGATCGCTTTTAGATTTGACTTCAAAATAAAAGCCCGCAGGTTTCTCTGCAGGACTGAACAGAGCGGCGGTGATTGGAGGAAAAAAATAAAGATCTCTCACTCTGCCTCTGTGTCGTGAGACCATAAACAAGTCAGAAAACTCTCAATGTAGTACAGCTGCTTAGAAAATACTCAGGTATACAGTATTGTACATTGAATTACATCAAAATTCTCATTAATTCTACTTTATTACTACACTGGTTCTGACTGTAGACTAAAAATATATTTTCTACATTTTTATCATTTTCAATAAACACACGTTTAAGGCTAAACTAAAAATCTAAAACCTTATTGATGTAAGACTCTAATTTATGTGAAAAAGCACATTTCTTTGTCAGTGAAACCTTGTTGTTCATTTACTGTCCAAGAACAATATTGTTTCACAGGGGAATAAAATCAATATTTCTATTTATGACCACAAACAATAAAGGCCTAACTGAAATACTGTGTGTCTTAATGGTGTTTTAAGGGTGTGATGTAATGTACAGCAAACTTCAGCCCAGCTTTTAGATAGTATACGTCAATCCGTTCCTTCAACTTCTTAAGAGTGAAATTATATCATAAAACAAACAAAATGGTAGATTGTTTAATTGTCTTTTAGCTTTAAACTTCATTGTTGACCTCTGAAGTGGCAGTTTGAAAAAAGTCTTTGTAAATGTCCACTTTCTGTTTCCAGAGCTTTTAGCCACATTTCATGATGCCTCATCTGCAGATGGAGTTAGCTCACTTGAAGCTACTTTCAGCTGCTGATGATGAAGGCCATGAGTCAGAAATTCTTTAGGAATTACTTTTTTTTATTTCAACAGTAAAAAAGCTTCACAAAAACAGAACAGGTTTTTTCCAGAGCTTTCAACAACATGTCAAGTCTTAATTTGTACATAGAGTCATCTGAAGGTCGAAATGCTGTTTTAAAACTCTCTTTTTATGCTGCCAGGAATAGAATTCTGGTTGGGAAAGACAGTGCACTTTATTTATTTTGGCCTAAATTTAATCATATTTATATGCATTGAGTCCAAAAATCAGCTCAATCAGTTCAGTCATCTTATAAAATACTCTTAACCCCACCAAATTTGCTAAGAAAATCCAAACAAAAAAAAATTCTGAGAAAAAATAGGCCCCTAAAAACATGTCCTTAATGATACCTGTAGTCCTGGAGGAATATTAAAACAGTAGAAAACAAAGGTCTGTGTACCTACCAACTTTTGTACAGTCCATTTTTAAGGTAGAAACTGTTTTGGAGACAGCTGAGAGCAACCACTCTTGCCGACTGGCAAGTTTTGAAGCGGAGTGATCCATCTTTTTTGCACACGGACGATCTTTGTCCGGCTGGTATTCGCTCTCCTCCATCATCCAACAGCCAAACCACAGAACGACCGAGCGGCGAGCCGAGGAGTACGACGCCGAGAATATTACAAGAAAACGCTGGGAAATTACGCTGTTCTGTCGTGTTCTTCTGGTGGGGTTTTAGACTTGAACAAGTGGAATGAAATAGCGTCGAAAGATGGCCCACGTCGGCGGGACGAACTAAAGAGAGAAGAAGAAAGGTGAGAAACAATCAAACGTGATCCCAAACTTCATTCCCAGCCTGCGGGTCGGACTTTGGGGCTCTGTCTAACTGCTGGAACAAACGCAGTCCCCGGGTTGGAATGCTTCGTGTTTACGATTTGTCGAGTTTTAAATGACATTTTATCCTCTGATATTAAAGGTGAAGATATTTATATTAACTTCGTTTGTGTGTGTATAACCGAGATAATAGAGTATATGTTAAGAGAATTTAAATAAGTTACCAAAAACAATCAAGAGTTCGGCGAACAGATTTTTTGTGTGGTGCTGGCGCCAGAAGGTAGACGGATCCTTCTGGCTGCCGTCGTGGAAAAAAGTTTGCTTCACCTCTTCTGCAGCACGAAGTTGTGTTTTTTTAATCTTTAAAATTACAGTTTAACATACACACGCCGTCGCCGCTCAGAATTAATGAAATGAAGAGTGTTTGAGTTTTTCACGGCGAACTTCGCTGCAGGTCGTTTGTCTCGGGAAAGATGTTTACAGCTTGTTAGCCGCATTCCTCGGGTAGCTAACTGTGCTGCATAGTTTACAGAGCTCGTCTGTAATTATAGTAAAGTCTGGACGTATACTACCAATATAACTCTCACTCTGCAGGCAAATCATTTCATGTTAAAATAATTTTTTGCTCTATAGTCACGCTTTTCTCTCCGAAGTTATTTAATACGAGTTAGCTAAAAGTTCTTATAGTTTCAGCTTAGCAGTGCTAACTTAGTTTTTTAATTGATGTTAGCGTTAGCTTTGCGTCTGCCGTCACCGAGAGAGTTTAATGTGGTCAAAGAGGAAAACATGGCTGGTTTTAACAGTGAGTTCATAATTCTGGTGTTTTATTGAGTTGTTTCTTTATTAAAACATACGTGCAGTTGCTGAGGTAGCTAGCATCTTGGGCTAACTTTGCTTGGGAACAAGTATTTCTGATCGCACTCAAACGAACTGTTAAAGTTCACAGATGATGATCTTATTCTCAGGTTGCTTTAGTGTGTGATTCCTTGTGACCAGAGTGTGTACCAGCCCCTCTGGACCCCCTGTGGATTGTTTATTCCGCCATTGTTTATTCCTGTTTCCAGGATTTGTTGTTGTCTTTTGTTGAGGTCCTTTTGTTCATAAACTATTGAGATAAATAACAGAAGTTGAGTCGGAAATAGTGAACACTGACTGCACAGTATGGTGTGTGTGTGTGTGTGTGTGTGTGCGTGCACCAGTTACCACGCTTCCTCTGAGAGCCCTTTAGTCAAACAGAACATTACATTTGTATGAACCATGCTGTATCTGAAACCATTTGATTACCTGCAGCATACAGACACACACATTATCTATCATGGACAGAGAAGTTGTCTGCCACCTTGGCCGTGGTGGAGGACACATTAAGATCCTTTATTTAACCCTCCTGTTGTCTTCTGGTCACATTGAACTGATTTACAAGTTTTCTCTCTAAAAACTTTAATAAGAATAACTGTATTTTGTCATATTTGCTGAAACTTTCACTATATCTTGACAGTAGAACATGAGACAGATAATCTGTGAAACAATCAGGTTCCTCCTAGTGCTCCTAGTGCTCCTAAATGGTATTTGCAGAAATCCACCGGG